ACAGGATCACGGCCCCAGGTTACCTCCCCAACGAGCAGGATGTGCTGCGATCCCGAGTGAAGACCACGGGCATCATCGAGACCAAGTTCTCTGTCAAAGACCTGAATTTCAGGTGGGTGGGTGCCCTCCCACCCAGTCCCAACACAGGGAAGGGGTTTGGGGTGAACCTGATGCTCCAGGGACCACCAACCCCCTGCCTGGACTGGGGGTGGTCGGTCACAGCATCCCTGGCACCGAGGTGCTGGGACCATCACGTGGTGGGTGACAGGACCAGATGCGTCACCCCCCCGCCCCGTCCTTGTCCCCTCCCCAGGATGTTCGATGTGGGAGGGCAGAGATCGGAGCGCAAGAAGTGGATCCATTGCTTCGAGGGGGTGACCTGCATCATCTTCTGCGGGGCGCTGAGCGCCTATGACATGGTGCTGGTGGAAGACGACGAAGTGGTGGGTCGGGGCCCAGGGAACAGCTCAGTGGCCGAGGGGGAAAGGAGCCAGGTGCTTCAGGGAGTGGGAGGGCAAGGCCCTGCCTCGTCTGATGCTCTGGGTGATCTGGGGAAGGGCTGGGAGATGCGGGACAGAGCTGGCTCCCACCCCAGTTACACCCAGTAACGTATTGGCACTTATTCTGGGGCACAACCAGCCCAACCAAGGCAAAACGGGGGCCGTGCGGCCGCCCTCCCCCCTGCCCACGAGGAACCCCTTGGTCCTTCCAAGCAGCCATGGGCAAAGCAGGAAAACCACCCGAGCAAACCCAAAGGAGCCAGCCCGGCACAGGAGGAGGAGAGGCGCAAATGGGTCTCGCTGAAGGAAAGTCTCGCCCAGAGGCACCTCGTGCCTCGCTGTGCCCTCCAAGGTGGGCAGAACGGCAGCAATAAGGGGCAGCTTTCACCCTCCCTGCAAGCGGCCCCGGGGGAAAGCAGCTTCAAGGACAGAGGTCCAGAGAGGAGGAACGCGACAGCCCCAAACCAGGTCATTTCTCAAAAGAAGTAAGGGAGCAGAGCAGGAGAAGCAGGCTGCCTTCTCCCCAGCCTAGAGAATTGGGGCAAAGCACCCCTGCCTGGCATCTCCTACAGCCTCTGATCCCGTGGATGCTCCCTGGTGCTCTGGGCTCCAAACACCTTTGCCAGGAGCTGGGGCAGGAGCACGCAGCCCTTCCTCAGCCACAAAGCAGCAGCACGTGCTGCAGAGAGCATCTTTCCCATTAAAGCCCTCAGCAGAGGTTGTAGCGCTTCTCCACGTGCAGGATGGGGCAGGATTTGGCCGAAGTGGGTGCCCTGCCCACTGAAACCATAAAAACTGCTGCAACAGGAATCTGAAGAGGACATCCCCATTATCCCTGAAGAACCTGCCTGCTGCCACACAAAGGAGATCCACCGTCTGTCAGCAAAAGCCCCTGCTTGGAGCCTCGTCCTCCCAAGGATGCCCTTGCTGCAAACCAGAAACCTCACGTCTGCGTTAAAACCAGAGCTTTTCCTTTTCCCTGCTCCTCTCTGAGCTACAGGTTAACGGTCCAGCAAGAGCATCCTGCAGCACGGCCCAGATAATGGGGACAGCAGCTCCACACCCTCACCGAGCACCTTCCAGCAGCCATGCCGCAGGGCTGTGACCTTTCCCCAAATATTTTTCCCACTGTCAGCATTCATTTCTGACCATCCCAGAAGCTGCTGGGAGGGATTGGAGCATCACGCTGCCCGGAGCTGCTTAACACCGCTCCCCATCTGGAGCAGAGTCCGGATTTATCTGGGTTGCTTGCACTGCGATGGGCAAGAGGGACTCTCGGTGCAGGCAGGGGACAGGCAACAGCGGCTGCTGCGGCAAACGGGAGCACCCCCAGCAGCACAGGGAAATCTTCTGGTCTGAGGACCAGGGGAAGCTGAGGGGCTGTGATGGCCAAAAGGGGTAAGTAAATTATTTGTGCCAACGAGCCTGTTTGCTTGCAGAACCGCATGCACGAATCCCTGCACCTATTCAACAGTATATGCAACCACAAGTTCTTTGCCGCCACCTCCATTATCCTCTTCCTCAACAAGAAGGACCTTTTTGAGGAAAAGATCAAGAAAGTCCATCTCAGCATTTGTTTCCCAGATTACGACGGTGAGTTGGTTCGTTTCCGTCTTCCCCAAAACCACACTATCCGGCAGGGAGGCGCATGGGCCTGATGCAGACACAGCAGCTTGGGTTCAGGATCAGTCCCTGGAGGGACGAGCAGAGGATAGGACAGACGTGGCCTGGGGAAGGTGGTTGGAAGGACTGAAATGGGAGAAAAGGGGTTTTGTTTTGGTTTTTTTAAATTTTTAATCACTGTGCTAAGTGCAGTTGCCACCCAGCCCTTTTCCTTTTCTTCCTCCTCCAGAGGGAGATTTCAGATCTAGCTCCTAAAAACTAAGCCTTAAGCATCCCCTGGTCCTCGCCCAGCTCTCAGCTCCTCTGGGAGCAGCTCAGCTGCAGCAGCAGCGTTTCCTCCCTCCGCAGGTCCCAACACGTTTGAAGATGCAGGAAATTACATCAAGACCCAGTTCCTTGATCTCAACATGCGAAAGGATGTGAAGGAGATCTACAGCCACATGACCTGTGCCACAGACACGCAGAACGTCAAATTTGTCTTTGACGCCGTCACAGATGTCATCATCAAAGAGAACCTCAAGGACTGCGGCCTCTTCTGAGCATCTGGGGGCAGGTACCTGGGAAACTGTTATTTAACAAAAAAAGGCCTGGGGAAGGGCACGGGGGTGAAGATACAGCAGAGCTGGCTCCATCCTGCTCTGCAGGGCGATGGGATTATTTTGAATTCGTTTTGTCAGACCGCTTCAACAGAAGAGAGATGAAACCAGCAGATTATAGCCGAAATTATGCACGTGGGCAAAATCAAACCATTTTATCCCAGGGCCTTCAGTTACCACAACGCAGTCACTGGCACCACGCCGGTTTGCAACCCGGTTTGGAGGCTGTTACACAGCCACCAGCTTTGCCACTTTGTTTTTCCAGGGAACCTCCGGTGCTTCCCTTATCCCTGAACATTAATAGAGAAGCAAGAATTAAAAAAAACTCCAAAAATAAAACAGGCAGGCAGCTTCCTCGCAGGCAGAGAGAGCACGGGGGGGTGCAGCCCTCGGACGCCAGCTCTGCATTGTGCTGTGAACAAAGCTGCTTTCCAAGCAGAGTGCTCAGCAGCCGTCAACCGAAATCCTGCTTCTAGCATCAAGAAAAAATGAATAAATAGTGCGGCAAGGCAGCAGGCAGGGAGGGCCTGCATTCACCTAAGGGTGCAGGCAGCAGCAAGAGCTACAGGGGTTGATCGGTGGGGGAACACTTGGTGTAACATTTACACCAACCTGGGTCAGAGCATTTAAACCGATGCATTTTTTTTCCCATCGCCAAGTGTTGGGCAATGAAAAAGTTGCTTCTCTCAACCCACCCTTCCTGCACGTTGCACCGTTACAACCTTAACCGCGTGGTTTGAAAAAGTGTTTAACACTCCTCTTTTCTTCCTTCCTGCTAGAAGAGGAAAGGACTTCAATTCCACATCGCCATTCTGCTGAGCAGAGCCAGAAGGATTAACCAAAAAAAAGTTACTCAGACCCCACTTTTTCTACGACCTGCCCAACCAAGCCGCCCACTTTCAAGCCCAAAATAGGAAGGGGCTGAAGCTGAACTTCCTGCTCCCTTTCGTGGCCATTTCCTCTTTTTTTTTTTTTTTAAAGAAAGTAAACCGTGCTCTCTGCAGTGTTTATAAATGAGATCCAGAGTGGTTTGAGCATGCCAGGCAGAAAAATTAATATCGAACCATCAGCATCGCTTCTGCAGGAGGCGGGGACAGGCGCTCCTCTCCTGCCCTTCCCTCTGTAGCTGGTTTCTTCCCTTTTATCAAAGTCGAATTAATCAAACCAGGGATTTCTGGAGAAGGTGGAGGCTGGGTTACCTACAAGTCCCTTCTGGGAACCAACTTCAATCCTTTGGCAGGAAAAATTAGGGCTTTGGGGGTTTTTTTGTGCCCTAAGACTTGAGGTAATGCTGCTCAGGTTGTAGGTGACGGTGGGCAAGCACAGGCAGAAGCATGCGCATTAGGGTCTGACGGAGGTAAGTCAGAGGAATGGGCTGGATAAAGAGGAAATGGTTACTTGAAAGATTTTCATTCTGCTATTTAAAGCTGTATTTGCTCTTTACTGTTTGTAAATAAATCTATGCCAGTACTACAGACAAGTCCTGTATCCTTTCACTGTTTGCTGCAGAAATCCCATGAACAGCTTCATTTAACTGTAGGAAAACAAAATAAAAGAAATACGCATGACATGGATGTCTATCATTTCTCCCACTTCAATTTCTCTGTGATGACTGTTCGCAAGCCCCGTCCCTGCACCCAAGAGCTTGGATTGAGAAGTATTTTACATTCTTTGTGTTCAATCCGCAACCGATCTCCCATCAAGACCAACCGGTGGCTGCAGAGAGCACTGACAATTGCATATGGTAAAGCACGAGAAACCTTCCCGTTAATTAAACCCATTTCCCATCAAAGCGCTGACCAGCAAAGTGCAAAAGCTGGGGTGGGGTGGGAGAATTAAGAATAAACTAGAGGAAAGGCTAAAACTGTTTACTCACCATTTTAATACTGCCAACAACTATAACAGATTGAAACTGTACACGTGACAAACTGGGGGAAAAGAGTTTCAATGCAATGGTTCAGCAAAGGAATGTACTGACTGGTTATGAATGTTACTACAGTAAAAACAATGGCAAACGGGAATTTGGCACCACATATACAAAGTAAAGGCATGCTTGTCAATACAGTTTGGGAGTCTCCGACAGAAAAGGCCATGGTAAATGCAGAATGAGGTGCACCCTTTACAAAATTACCCACCGGTTTAGACCAAAAATGCACAAGAATAAGTGGTTGGTTGAATAGCTCTGTAGCAGCACGCGTCTCCCAGCCAGTTTGGAGCCCAGTGTTTCATCTCTCCAAGCCTGGATACACGTTCACCGCGAAGCTGGCTTTACGCTTACCACGCAGAAGGAATCTTGATTTGGCTATCGGCATAAGCCAGGTTCACCCCTAACCATAAGCTAAAAAGATTCATTTGTCCTGCTGCAGAAGTTTCTTTCAAAAGCCTTAAGGCAGCAGGATGGTAACAAATTACATGTCAGAAAAAGCCAAAGCTATCGCTGTAAGAGCTCTAAGGATCCTTTAAGTAGTTGCAGAAATATTAAATCCTGACCATACCAAGTGTTAAAAACAAAGAGTTCCTGCTAAGAGGAATACTTTCTGCATGATCTGGTCACATGTGCATAGTTCAGTGATTTTTTTTTTGTTGTTGTTTTTTTTATTTTTAAAACAAGATTCGTTTGCAAATAAAGAAATAAAATTTAGTAAAGTTACCGTTTTCTTGATGGAAAAAACCCAAAACCTTAAAAACAGACTAGTGGTGGCTTGTTAACCAAAGAAAGAGAGAAAGCTACATATTGAAGGTCTGGAATCCAGCACCTCAACTTCACAACAGCTGTACACACTTGAGATTACGCCATCCAAACGATGCCAGGATGATCTAGTCACACTAACAGTTGTTCCACCTTGACCTAACTTCAACATCCCATATCAATAAAAAGGTCCCTAATACAGAAGATTGTGCTAAAGAATGCAACGATTCCGCATGCTGTTTTCGTTTCCCTGGTCCTCCTGTTCATGCTTGCAGCTGTCCCCATGAGGCAGCAAAGAGTCTGGTTCTCAAAATGCCACATCATAAAAAAAACCTGAAAAGAAAAGAGTCAGTGTTAGCAAGGTGAAAGGCAAAGCCAGCCCGAGCTGGCATGTAATATTTAAACGCTACGACCGGCTTGGCTTTACCTGCTTCCCACACCCCTTCTCAATAGAGTCCGCATTCCTTCAGGTTGTTTTTAATGATAACATCTGTAACAGCATCAAACACAAACTGCACGTTCTTGGTGTCAGTGGCGCAGGTGAAGTGCGTGTAGATCTCCTTGGTGTCTTTTCTTCGGTTCAGATCTTCAAACTGACACTGGATGTACGCAGCTGCTTCCTCGTACGTGTTGGAGCCTGAAAAAGATAAGATCCCTTACTTTGGCCAGCAGTTCACAGCAGAGAGAGATCTTTTAAGCACATATTAAGCTGCTTGCAACCATCTGCCTTATCCAGCTATAAATCCAAATCCACCATTAACTCCTTCTAGTAAATCTGAGAGTCTATTCCCAGCTTCTGGTCAGTGACCTTGGACAAGTTGCTCCCCACCCTGAGATAACTACCTATAGTAACGCTTCATGCTAGAGACATGCGATTGTATCAGAAGAGTGACAAATAACAGGAATAAACAGGTTTGAAGGAAGGACCACTTAAAAAAAAAAGTCAAATGCCTCGAGCAGTGACTACGAAGCATCATGCGGGCCCTGGCAGGGGAGGGCTGCAAAACAAGCACACCAGGGTGGACAAGTGCCATATCCAGGATATGGATAAGTTTCATTGCCTCTGAAATTGAAGTTAAATAAAGTATTTTCCTAATAACATGTGGAAAATGCAAAGTGACCTCAATTTGCTGGACTGCAATACTTAGCTATCCATACTCCAGGCCCTAAGATACACAGACAAGGGCTGTTCCAAACCATAGACATGCATGACCACATCTCTTTTTCTCAAAAGAGCTATAAGCTAACTGGATAGCCTGAAGATGCTACCCAAGAGAGAGTTAAGGGAATGAGGAAAAATAGATAAGCTTTTGAGTTATCCTGGATTGTGTAGGCTTTAACTGACTCACTCCTGGCCCTGGCAACATAAATAAAACCCCAGTTTCGTGAGCCCAACCTTACCGGTGTATTCTGGGTAGCAGATCGTTAGTGGGCTTTTCTTAATCTTTTCCTCAAACAGGTCTTTCTTGTTCAAGAAGAGAATGATCGATGTGTCTGTAAACCATTTGTTGTTACAAATGCTGTCAAACAGTTTCATACTCTCATGCATCCGGTTCTGAAAAACAACAAGAAGGGCGATGCATCATTGCAAAGCTATCAGGGGAGGATGGGATGGAGGGACAGACGGGCTTAACTACAAAGGCTGGACTAAAGAGTCATGTGTCACTGAGATATCCTCACTGCTGCTTCATCAGGAAGACCACGGGCACAACCCTGAGCAGGGAAAACTCCCCCAGGATGTGTTTGTTCCTCCACAGAGGTACTCATACCTAGGGGGACATGCTACAGGGATAGCACCACCATTTCTGTATTATTTTTATCAGTTTCTGGGGCAAGATCCTGCAGGCTGGTGCAAGGAAGTGCTCATGTTCACAGCCCTTGAACAACTGTTACAAGAGGAGCAAGCCAGAGACACCTCCACCCCCAAGTAGGTCTGCACTTGCTTCCACCTCCCTCCTACAGTGCCGTGCAGCCAGGCACTGGTAACTCCTCCACAACATACCATTTCCTCATCCTCGGCCAAGACAAGGTCATAATCGCTGAGGGCCACACAGAAAATAATTGCTGTCACGCCTTCAAAGCAGTGGATCCACTTCTTCCGCTCTGACCGTTGGCCACCAACATCGAACATCCTGGGAGAGGCAGAAGAACTATCTCAGAAGCTTTGGAGACCTCCTTCCCAGCCACTGCACCATTGAGGAGGCTCTGCTAAGAACTCTCAAACAAGCAGGGTTCAGGGGAAAAGAGGTACACA